CTGTACTTTCTCTCATAGGTGTTGCAAGAATGATTTTTCTGTTTCTCCAGCCCGTTAATGCTAGCTAAGCACAAGCCTTGCCTTCCAACACGGTCAGATTTTCTTTGCAGCAGACAGGCCCTCTATAAACCTAATTTCAGAAATACCTGACTTTTAAAAGTAAAGCTTTTATCCCGATTCTGACCTGAAGAACCCCTGTTGCTCCCAACCACTTACTAAGATGTGACAAAAGGGAAAGAAAGCAAGCCGATTCTCCTTAAACCTCATGAATAAGAGCATTCTCTAATCACTGGGTTCTTGACTATGAGGGAAAACGATGACATCTGTGACCTCTGCACTGCGTGCAACCCAGCAGACCAATGTGTTCAGGGAACGTCTGAGTACGTCTCATGAGCAAGAGAGATTGGTGACAAGTTTTGTTCGTAAATCCTTCAGAGGCACACCGTAGTATTTGCTTTGATGGCTCTGCATCAAAGCTCATCAGCAGGAGTGTAACTTTATGCACACCTGTAAGTTAGCAAAGGCCCAGTGGCACTTAAATATCAGACTATAATTCTCCATGTAAATCTCACTCAGGGTCTCAGTTCCTTGGTGAGTGTTCCACCAGATGCTGCAATGTCCAAATGAACCATTCTGATACCCTATATTCACTGATAAACTCCCTAAATCCATGGGCTAGATGAGTAAGTGTAATACAGTATCTAAAACTGTTAAGAAACAACCTCATTTAGTTAGAACTGTCTAGGTGGAGCTGAGTGACCCTGGTGAAACTTGGTTGGCGTGCAGCATAAGAGATCATGACGCTCCAGGGCAATTCTCTGTTACATGGATAATGTACTTACATTTGCATTTGGTTCAGAGAGAAATCCCTCCCTTACTGCAAGTCATGAGGAAATTGTTCAACGTTGCGGTTGGCAAAACTTCTGGTGGTCTTGACGACAAAAAACTGATCCAGCTCTTATTAGAAAGCACATCTACTGAGAGTATTATCAGCAGCTCTGCTTTTGACTGAGGCACTGGTCAGTAATGCTGCTGCTACAGCTTGAAACTGCAGTGCCACTGGCACATATCCCAGGAAGCATGCCAGCTTCCTATGGATACTGACCACAAGAAAATGAGACTCCCCAGGAGAAACAGTGACTTGCTCACTCCCCAAAAGAAACAGGGACTAGTTCTTGACATGATCATACAGATCCATAGAAGCATCTGGTATTTTCAGTGGACACTGGAGTGGGTGAGCTTGCTACTGTATGAAGACAAACAGATGCATTTGTATTTGCACTACAAGTTTAAAATTGTCCCTTGCACATTGGTGTAAATGCTACAGCTCACTGATACAAAAGTATACAATGGGTGAGCAGTTAGAAAACTTCCTAAAAAGCAAAATAAATCAAAACAGATTTGTATTTGAAACAAACCTTAAAATGGCATAACTTCTTCTAAGCACAGAATTAATAGTCTCTAGAAGCAGAACAACTGCAGTAGGGTATGTAAAAGCAAAAATGAAAATAGAAAGCTAACCCTGGTTGCAACTTATGCTAAAACCCTTATTACACAGACACAGGTTAAGTCACCTACAAGCTTGGAACCTCTTCTGTGAAGAACGAAGAGTCAACATTTCTAATGCAATGAATTTAAATCACTTAGCAAACATTAAATATGCAATACATCTGTTACAGAAGTCAGTACTATTTACTTATTGTAATAGAGGTGCACGGAAATAGACCCAAAGACTTAAACACCAATCTACATGCAAGAGGATGCATAAGTAAGGCAAAAACCTTTACTAGGTCATGTCCAAATGGAACAAGAATCCCCATCTCCCAGAATCACCTAGCCCAAGAGGTCGCTCTCTCTGGGAGTATTTTTTATGCCCAAGAAATGAATAAGCTGAACTATCCCCATCTGTCGTTGACAGTTCATGATTGTCAGGGGAACAATCTGAAAAAGAGAGCTTGACTTACGGTATCAGGTAATACAGCCCTTATCTGCCATAGAGAAGGCAAGAACTCAGGCTTTCACTGAGGACGAAAAAAACGGACAAAAAAAGAAACAAGATTTTTCCCCGCTAGGCTAGCTAACCAGTGCCACAGAGGTCCCCGCAACTTTCGTTTAACCTAGGAGAATGAAATCTGAGTTGACTGCATGCTTCACCACTTCTGAGCATAGAAGAGCACATAGGTTCAAGAAATAATATAGGTTAAGCAACCGTAACAGGTTTCCAAGCATTCTGTTAATCACTTCCTTGTCATAAGCACATGCGGAGCATATACCGCACACAGCATCCACCTATTACAGTAATGCCAGAGTAGCTCTATCGAGGTTATGATTCCTCCCTTCCTCAGATTGCACGTTGTGACGGTTGCTATGATTGTAGCAACCATGTTGTACCCGACAGCAAATACAGCTTTTGTACTTCATGGGAGGGAAAAGAAAACTATTTTTTTAGATAATGGATCCATCAGACCCATGAGTAATCAGACTGTTTTTGTTCCTGCAAGGAGCTCCCATTCATTTGATTAAACCCCACGGAAATGTGCACGTCTCTTCACACCTCTGCCGTCCCCAGGCACAGGATTTTGTACACAGGTCAGTGTGAAGCTCACTCACTAATAGCATACTAAAAGCAGCATTTTGCTTTGGTTCTCCTGAGCAAACAACAGGCTTATGCCAAGTAAGTAAGGTTCTCATTCACACCTAAGGACCAAAGCTAAAGGTGATCCTTTCTAAAGAAGACCAAGGGTCTACCCAGATACTTCCACGCATCGTCTCATTTTCAAATGTTCTGCTCCTCCATGGCATTCCTTTCCTCCCCGACTGAAAATATCTCCATTTCTTCAGTAATACTGCTTCGGATGTTTGTCTCCCTATTTTCCTTCCCCCATTCTGTTTCAGATGTGTTTCCTTTACCCTGAATTGATAGGACCAGTTTCTGATTTCATCTTCCACTAATGCCAAAGGGGCTAAAGATTTCATTCGTAACATAATTTGCATTTATCTGTGCTACCATTTCCAGCTGCCTCCCACCTGTCCTGTTAATGCCTTCCAAGTTTTCACACAGGTACAACCAGACTTCTAATGATGGCTCTTTCCCAAATCCCAGCCTCTATTCAGAGCTGACCACATCACTGCTACTGCCAGCTGCCCAAAACTTCGGGGCTAGTTTGTCAGCTTGTATAATCCCAGACCTGTGAGGTTGGCAACTGGAAGGTATTTGCTATATTTCAAGATTTGCTAAGCATTTTACAGAATCAGTCCATAGCAAAGCCAACATAAATTGTAGCTAGATATGTCAAGCTTTGATCATAAATAGGAATAATCATCCTCAGTAGTTCTAATAAATTTGCTGAAACTTTTGCAATACGGGTGCACAGTTTTTTCTCCCAGCAAATGATGTAGAATAAAATATGTGTTTCGAGACACTTGCCAGACACTTGTGTTGCTGGCTGCCAAAAAAAAAATCTTTGCAAGTTTTCTTATTGTTTTCATTTGAGTTCATAGTTCATAGCAGCCACCCACTTAACAGCAAATCTGCCCACATTTCATACCATCAAAGAAATTAGCAGGAATTAGTAGGAGCATCTCATCCACCTGTTTAAGCTGCCCTGCAAACTCCCTGTTTGATGAGACAGCACAGATAGTTAGAACCACTTATAGCTCAAGAGAAAACACGCTAATTAGTATCAATGTAAATTCTGCACTGGCAAAGACGTGGGAAGTGGTCCAGGAAAGATCTCAGTCTTGTCATTCCTCATTAGGAGATCGTCCCTTAGAAGGACTGAGTTTCTGGAATCCCCATTAATCTGGAATTCCCACTAATGCCATTGCGTAAGCGGTTGATGGCAGGGTCACAGCCAGGGTACCACGGAAGCACTGCCCGGTCACCCGGTCCCATTGGCACACCGGTTTCAGGTAACTCTCACCTGATCAGAAGGTGTAGCTCCATACGGACAAGCCTGTAAACTGCACCCTCAAGCACCTACACTGCCACCGAGTCAAACGAATTCATCCAGAGCCATCTAAAGCTATACAACTGTTTACATACTTTATCTTCTTTTATGAGACATTATCTGCTCGTCTGTGACGATTTATGCACTTCACTCGTAGTCCATTTCTAAATCACCTGGAATGAAGAACATAAGTGGAAAGGCCTACTTTCATTTACAATTTGAGCAACTGCTTTCAGAAATTGAAGTCCTGATGGTATCTTCTAGGTATGTCTTAATTTACCAGGCTTCTCCAGCAAGGAGAAGAATAACACAAGCGGGTAAGACTCTGGATCAACTTAGTAAACAGATCCCAAAAATCACAACAGTGACACTTCCACTTCACACAGCACCATGGTTAGCACAAGCAAGGCACAGGACTGCTGTTTCCAAATGCCACTGTCAAGACACAAGGCGATGGGTAAATTCCTCTTTTTTTACCTTAGAGCAGCGCTGGTTATCCCGGGCTCCCGAGAAGAGCTCTCGGAGCAGTCTGACAGCCATCCCTCTGTTTTAAGCCATGCACACATACCCAGCCGAGGGGAGCAGCCTGGGTGGCGTCCCCGGGTCACCAGTGCCCTGGGGGCCTGCCTGTAGAGCAGGGCAGACCAGGGCCAGACCTGGAGGAGGTGGCCGGGCCTGGGACCCTCAGCATGGAGGTGCCAGCGCACTGACCCGCACCCTCCCCGGGGAGGTGCCAGACGGCCCCACTCGCCCCCAGCCCCTTGCTGCCTCCCCATGCATGGCGGCCTCGCCTTTGTGTGAGCTGCGCCGTGTTTACCCTCCCACTTCCTTGTTCCACTCCAGTGCGAGGGCCATAAACCGCCCAGCTGGCACGGCCGAGCCCTCGGCAGCACGGGCAGGAGGAAGAGGAGGGAGGGGGATGGCGGCCAGGCCCCTGCTTTGTGCCGGGAGGGCACCTCGGGTGCCACCGTGGTGGTTGGGAGCAGAGCCCTTCCCCTAGGGCTGGTGCCATTGCCTGCAGTGGGTGCCTCATGCCCACTGGCCACCCTCATGCCGGGGTCTGGGGGCGTGCCAGGGGGGAACAGGACCTACTTCCCCTTCTTCTCAGACTTCAGGGGCCACAATGTGACGGCCCTGCGTATCGGTGAGTCGTCCGCCCTGGCCTCCATCTTCCTGCTGGCCTTGGCGGGAAATGTCTGGGGCATCTGCCTGCTGGTGCGGCGGCGGCACCGGCTGTGCGCCGCCAACTGCCTCGTCCTCAACCTCTTCTGCGCCGACCTGCTCTTCCTCACCG